ATCCTTGAATAATTCATAAGAGAAATGCTTAATTAAAAATAATAAATAGCAATTGATCACTTGTATAAAAATAGGACAAAAAACGTGCACGATGTGACGTCAAAAGCTTAACGCTTGCCGTAGTTTTCCGAATTGAAAACTGGCAAAATGAACACACTTTGTCTGTATATACCTTAGAAAGTATGCTACCTCCCAAGGTGTTGAGCCGCACATTCAATCACCTCCGTGTTATGCAGCGATGCACTCCTACTCCTTTATATTAAACAGGAAAGCATTTACCTGTCACATTTGACGATCTGTTCCGATTTATTTAGGAATGCATTAAAAAGTAATAAAGGTAATTCTATCTACAATGATTGCCCTGCGAAATAAGCAGGGGAGGACTTTTTCTATCACCCTTTATATACAACTCCCATATATTCGAATGATTAGCAAAAAACTTAGCCATTTTCAAGCTTCGTCCCCATTAAGATTTTTCATCAGTCAAAAACTATAACATAAAATTTCAGCCAAAATTCTTAACAATTGATCCTATAACTTGAATTTTCCATATATAAAAGTTTACTAGAGTTACAACAATGTAAAATTTCTAATCTCTAAAGCCAAATAAAATATTCCAGCTTATATTTTAATAATTATTTTTATTAAAATTGTTAAAAAAAGTATTTAAATTTGTAACTTCTATATATATTTATCATATTTTCTTCTTCTAATTTTTCTCTTCTCAAATTGCGATAATGTCAAAAAGATGTTAGTTAATGTTAATATATTACTAGATGTTTCGTGTCAAGAAACACAAATTATCGATTACGTAGTAAAGTTTAACTGCACTTCTTTTCTGTTTACGTGTTTAATACTAATTTTGAAATAATAAAAAATGATACTTAATAGCTGTAACATATTTTTATGTAGATAAATTTACAGCAATTTTAATGTAAATACGAATATTTATTTTTTCTTGTTTCTATTAATCTTTGATGCACTCTCGTCTCGTATCTACTCTCTACTTCAAACAAATGTTGAAACTGGAAACCACCCATCAAATTTAATTGCAGTTTAGAGATTTCTACATCATTACACTGAAATTGGTTTTTTCCCACTCTCTCTTTTAGTTCTTGTTTAACAGAAATACAATGATCACATTATCACTTAAATTTCTATTGATCTTCATTTTCTTTAAATTGTTTTTACATTATTACGTTAAATAAATAACACTGCAGCATACTTTTAAAAAATTAAATTGATTGAATTTTTTAATTATTTTGTTATTGTAAATTATACATAATTTTAAAGATGATGATGATGAAGATAAATATTTTATCTTACCTATTTATATGATTTAAGATTTTGGTGGTATCATATTTAATGGATGAGGTATACAATAAGCCTCACTCACATCATGTTTTGAAGCCGTTTATATAAAGTCGTGTTCAATATGTTCAGCTTCAATTTTAATCTTGAATTTTATCCAAACTTTAGCAAGATAACGTGGCTCGAAGTAGTGAATATTTCATATACAATAGATGAACCTCTCCAAAATATTTGGGTTTGATACAATCTTCCCTCGATATAACGCCATAAAAGATGTTTCAAGGATTCAGATTTGCACATCAGTCTTTGAAGTTTAAATAACTGTAAAGAAGTTTGGTAGATAGGTTTCGGATCACCTTAAATTAAGGTGCAATGCATCAAACATTAAGGGAATTTTCTGTTATGATACTTGTTCGATTAGCTTAATTTATTCTTATATTAAATTTAAATTAATTAATTAGAATTTAAAATTTAAATTAATGTTCTTTTTTGTATTAAGTATAGCATTATTCAAGTTCGGGTATTTTAAAATTACAGTCGAAAGTAAGAAATCAAGAAATCACTATCGTTTACTTTGATTCATTAAGAATGAAATTCTCTTTTATGAATATTTCAATTAAAATTACAAGTAAAGAAACAAATTTAATTAGTTCTTTTTCTATTTATAAAGAACAGAAAAATTATATTGTGATCTTTAACTTTCTATCAACTTCTTACATTCATTTTAGTATAAAAACTTTATATTAAATCTTTTTATTTAATGTAAAGAATAGCAAAGATAAGGATTTACATTATTTGTAATTCTGTAAAAGGAAAAATAAATTAAATATTTACTTAATGAAGTTATTATTTATAAAAGCTTTTATACTCATTAATTAAATTATTTTAATAACAAAAACGAATATTTTTTTTTAGAATATTAATAATTAATTTTAATTGACTCGAGTGATTTAACAAATGTAACATATTTTACACAAATAGGGCCTATATCATGTTTTTGTATTTATTTTTTAAAATTGTCACATTAAACGTTGAAAAATATAAACTTCTTAATACAGACCACTGATTGAAACCTAAAAATGGTAGTTGTTCTGAGGTGGACGTTGTTTAGAGGTTATTTTGTACGCATTTAAAACAAAGTTTCTAAAAAATGGCCGTCTTTTAGAGATGTACGTTATTTGAGGTTCTACTATATAAATTTTAAAAAATATTAATGATTATTCTATTAAAAAAATAATAATCACTTTTAGCCAATACTTAAATCAATTTTACATATTTATCAGATAGATTATACAGCATTTATTTAAGCAAATGTGTGCCGAATTTTTGCTTAACTTTTATTTAAATAAATCTAATATATAATCGAGACGGGTTGATGATAATAATAATAATAATAATAATAAGCGCAGAGCCCAAACGGTTAGGAGTTGAAAGTTGAAATTTGGTACACAGATAGGGTACGTCATGAAAACGCACACTAAGAAGGGATTTTTCGAAATTTCCCCCGGGGGGAGAGAGACAGGATTAAAACTTCTATATACATTATGGATACGAGCCCAAACGGTTAGGAGTTGAAAGTTGGCATTTGGTACACAGTTAGGGTACATTAGGAGAACGCACAATAAGAAGGGATTTTTCGAAATTCCTCCCCACGGGGTAGAGAGACAGGATTAAGGCTTAACACTTCCATCAACAATGGAAGTGTTAAGTAACAATGGAAGTGCTAAGTAACAATGGAAGTGCTAAGTAACAATAAATGTTTTAAGTAACAATGGAAGTGTCAACAATGGAAATGCTACGTAACAATGGAATTGTTAAGAGAAAGCGACGAGCAAGACACAGATGCAGATTTTTTCGTTTTTGCGGGAAATCGAACATATTTTTAGACCCATCTAAAAATTCTCTAAGGGGACCCAATTCTTGCATTCTGTGAAAACGGGTAAGGTTCTTTATCTTAGTTATCGTTACTTTTGCCCGAGCAACGCCGGGCCCACCTGCTAGTTAATATATAATCGATTTTTAAACATAATAATAGTATATATTCGTGCACTGCACATTTGTTATTTTATTTTAACAGTAAAAAGTAATAAACAGTTGATTTCATCAGAAAAATTTTATTATTTACTCAAAGTATTCTTTGTTTAGGTTATAAGGCAAAAACAAATAATACAAGCCCCATTAACAAAACAAATGAAACAAGATATCCACAATAAAAACCAGTGGCTCAGTGGCATTTGATCACGAGCTCACTCTCACCACGTGCACTTTTCCGGGGTTTTCTTCACATGTCTAACAACTGAATAGGAGAAGTTTCCCATAGAAAGTCCTCCCTTTGACAGATAGTCTTATCTCAACAATGCAATCCCCAATAAAAACACGTAGAAAAAGTAATGAAACTGTGTTTTCGCGTTTATTTCTATAATCTATAATAATATAACCGAAAGAATTAAAAATCAGAAGAATTTTTAATAAATTAATCCTTAAAAATTTCCATAAATTGTAATTTTAAATCGAATTTTCTGAATAATTGTTGGTTACGATGATTCTAACTCTGTTTTGATGCCAATATCTGATCAACTGGAATGAATTTTCCTTATTGTAAATTCAAATATATATATTGTTTATTATTTATCATGGAAAAATACATAATTTAGATTTATAAATTATCATGTTTATGAAAATATCGTGTTAAGAATGCATAGAAGCTGACAAAAACGATATATAATATCAGTATTACACGCTACAGTTTATGTATTGAACTACAAATTTAAATTTTAAAGCAAATTTTTACAATTTTTCAATTCGATTTAAAGACAACAAAATCTAATAAAAAATCATTTTATATTCTGAAATTTGAATTTTTACTTTTATTTTTATTTAATTCTGACTTTTCGATAACGTATTCGTCATCCTTACAACTTCTAAATAAAATTTATAATTTTTATTTTTTATACTTAAATATTTATTAAAGTTTAGAAAACAAATAATTGTTTATTTTATTTCAAGAATTTCGATTAAATTCATATATTTTATAATTTAATTTAAAAAAAAATGTTAAAAATTCAATTCAATATAAGAAATTCTTTCACTTTTAATATTATAAATATATAGATGGTNTTTTTTTATTTATTTATTTATTTATTTATATTTTCAATTTTTTCTATAATATAAATGAAATTTTATTCTAAAAATATAATTTGAATTTACTAATTAGTGAAATTTTAAATGAGAAAAACATTTTTATAATTAATAAATACAAATTATTTATTAAAATAAAATAAAATTTGGACATAAAATAATAAGTTTTTAATATAATTAAAGAAAACAATGTCAGAGGCATACAGTATTTATTATTATTAATTCTATATTTTAATCTCGAGAAAAGTTTTAAATTTAATTAACACACTAAAGTAACTTTTCTGACAGACTTTAAATATTAAAATTAAAATAAAATAACGTTTATTGACCGAAACTTTATTTTTGATTCATTAAATATTATCTTTTCTCTATCTGCTATCAAGTACAAGAGATAAAATAATATTTTCTAGACATGTAATTTTACTGTCCAAAGGTCTCCCTTCTCGAAGAGATTGTATATTTTGTATTTTTTATAATGTTAAATTATTAAAATACTTCTGAAAATTTAATCGAATAATATCAATTATGCTGTTTTTCTCTTTCTGTTGTAGGGTACATCAATATGCAGCATGTTACAGTATGCATGCTCTCTTCCATCACATTTCTCTATATTGCGGCTTTAGTTTGTGCAGAGAATAGCGATTCTCAATCTGCACTGGAAGCAGCTATTAATAGGGTAGAAAACGGTAATGTAGATAAAAGAGGATGGAACGAACTGTCCGGAATGTGGGGCAAAAGAGGATGGAACAACTTACAAGGAGTTTGGGGAAAGAGAGGATGGAATAATCTTCAAGGAGTGTGGGGAAAAAGAAATTGGAATAATCTTCAAAATGTTTGGGGAAAAAGAAATTGGAATAACCTCCAAGGAATGTGGGGTAAAAGAGGTTGGAATAATTTGCAAGGAGTCTGGGGTAAGAGAGATACAGAAACTCCTGCGGATAAGAAAAATGGATGGAATAAATTAACTGGAATGTGGGGAAAGAGATCCAGTTTCGGTTGGAGGATAGACCCAAATTTAGTGGATCTGTATTCTGTTGAAGAAGGTGAGTTTTTTAATTAATTTCACAATTTTTCGAACGTACATTATATCACTTATATATACAATTTAGAAATTTCCTGTGTTTAAACTACACATAGTAGCGGATTAACTACCATCCGGGCACAAGGCTCAGCTTTAATAAGGCTCCCATTACTTCGTTCCTTATCACTTCATTCTATTCAACAGGGACCTACCGTTTGTTGGATCCCGAAAAGCAGGGTCCCCCTCTCTTTCGGGCCCAACTCATCCGCCATTGATTACACGTCTATCTAAAAATACACAGACAGAAAATTATTTTTGTAGTTTTGCTGGATCCGAACTTACTTCATTTTATTATTCTAAGACGTGGGTTCAAATCCTATATTTATCTTTCCTATTTTAGATAATCGTAAAGCTTACACATTAAAATTTGATCATTGAATATTATCCTTTAATCAATAATAAATATATTAACCTTTATTATTTAAGTTCTATTACAGATTAATTTTTTAAAATATTTTTATAATTTAAAGATTTAAACAATTGTTTTTTTTAAATATATTACAAACTTAGGGAGTTTCTATTGTAAGATATCCATTAAAATATTAAGAGACGACGTAGTTTAACAAAATGAGTTGATGAAACGGTTATTTAGGGAGCACTTAATATGATATTTTGTTATTTAAAGGATCATTATCAAAAGTTTGATGGAAGATGAAGAGTGTAGATTGTTTAAATGGTCCACTGACCTTCAAACTAATAAATAACACTTCCTTTTATGACTCATAAAATACATTCTACAATATTCAATTTAATTTATGTCCAGGAAAATTAAATTATATATTTTTAAACAAAAGTCTTTCGCTTAAAATCAGGATTTCTTACTACTTAATATAAACAATTTTAATGAATTTCTTAAATAATTATTTGAGTAAAATGTTTTTTAATTTTTAAAACTTTTCAAAATTAATAAATATTTTTATATCTTCTTAATATTTTAATATATATTTCTCTAAACAAAATATTTATTTTTATTTCAGGACAAC